TTGTGTTGTCAGTCGGGATGGAGCCCATGCAAATCCCAGTATTCCTAGCATAGTTCCGGCATACACCAGACTTCCGTTCATGAGAGGCTTGCTGGATGAGCCTTCATTCCACTGTGCCCACGACATCAGAAGGATGATATGCCTTTCCACGATGATGTCTTCCCTGTGTCCTTCAGCTCTTCATATGCATTCCATAATTAACGCTCCATTCATATACTCATTCCGTAAATATTCATTAAGTGGCAGGGACACAGAGGCTCACTTAAGGGAGTTAACATTGAAGGTTCGTATTTCATTGAAGATGGGTTGTCAGACGTGAAACTCGGAGCTGTTCAGAACTGGTGCTGAGTAGAGCACTGGGAAACAATGGGGAGTTTTTTTATATCTGACAATCAGTGCCTTTAGCATGACGTTCGGGTGAGCCTTTGTCAGTCAGGAAGAAAGTATGGCCACAGTGGCTGGTTTACCAGGCGCCCGTGCTGCCGGCATCAGGCCAGGAGTTACCGTGTTGTCTTTAACTCAGTTCTCTAGGCTAGTATAGACACTTGCAAATTCTTCTGATAGCCGGGCGGTGGTGGCGCAGGCCTTCAATCCCAGCACTCGGGAGGCAGAGGCAGAGGCAGGGGGATCTCTGTGAGTTTGAGGCCAGCCTGGGCTACAGAGTGAGTTCCAGGACAGCCAGGGCTACACAGAGAAACCCTGTCTTGAAAAACCAACCAACCCACCAAAAAGCTGGTTAGGGCTTAGGGTACAGCTCAGTGGTGGAGGGATTGCCTGGCACACACGAGGCCCTGGGTCCAATCGACACTACCAAAAATGGATGCCAACAAATGTTTCTCTATAATTAAAAGAGAAAAAAGGTCAGCAGCAGCATTTTAGGATAGATTAGGATACCCAGGAGACTGATTGCGCAAATGTGGAAACTCAAACTCCTCGAGAGCAGTAAATGGAACTTAGGCTTTTGTTTCTAAGATGTGTGTGTGTTTATATGTGGGTGTGTGCTGTGAGTACAGGCCCTGGGGAGCTGCAGTCACAGAGGTTGTGGGGATCTGACTTGGGCTCCAGGAACCCGGGTCCTCTGGAAGAGCAGGGGTCCTCCCAACCACTGAGCCATCCCTCCAGTCCTCCAAAGCAGGCATGTTTGAATTGAACCCAGGCTTGCTTCACTTTTGCCTCAGATAGTCATGGACCCAGTGTTTCACCTCTTGTGTTGATCAAAAGGATGCTTTTCTTGGCGTGTCTGAGTTCTGAAGTATGTGGGTTGTCATTAGGTTTTAGGTGCAGCGAAGCATGTGTTGTTACCACAGAGGAAGCTGGAGGTTCTGTGTGTTCTACAATACTTCACTGTCTAGGTGCAAGGTATTTAGTGTGACTTGACTTGCATTTTATCTTTTGCTTCATGAATATGCTGCTGCCCTGTGCCTGGGTGTATAGAGCTCATTGGTAGCATGTGTGATTAGTAGGTGTGAGGCCCGGGGTCCGCTCTCCAGTACTGTAAAATAATATAATCCATTTTATTTGAAAGAACACTTACTCAAAGTCCCTTTGGGGTACTACTGTATTTTTAAAGACTTCTAGTGGAATCCAAGGAGTCATTCATGAGAACAGTACCTTCATGTGCAAAGCCAGCCTCTTCGTGAACCTGCCTTGGAAGAGCTGTTAGAGCGCTTTACTCTCCAGGGCTCCTTTTTCTTTAAGATTTTATTATGTATACAGTGTTCTGCCTCCATGTACACCTGCAGGCCAGAAGAGGGCGCCAGATCTCATTACAGGTGGTTGTGAGCCCCCATGTGGTTTCCTCTGGAAGAGGAGCCAGAGCTCTTCACCTCTGAGCCATGTCTCCAGCCCCCCTTCAGAGTTCTAACACAGTTTTCATTAGTTGAAACTTTTTTTTTTCCAATTTCTTACAGCAGTTGTTTTCTTCCTGCTGATATTTTTACAGTAGAATATGCTTGCTGCTCATTCCTCCCTGACAGTTGAACCTTTGAAAAGTGTTTTTCCTTCCTTTCTTTTTTTAAGTCAGGGTCTCAGCTATGGAGCTGAAGGTGACTTTGAATCTGACCCTCCTGCCTCCACCTCCCAGATGTTAGGTCTGCAGGTGTGCACTACCAATGCCCAGTGCTGAGGATCAAACCCAGGGCCTTGTTCATATTGGACAAATACTGCTGTGCTGCATCCTCAACCTAAAAACACAGTTCTTTCCCTCAAACAGTGAGAAGTAAATCACTACTTTGTATGTAAAAGTATCTTTGAGATACTTTGGAATTGTAGTAAGTACCTACTTAATCGTTAAACACACCAATCAATTCTGTAATCTTAATTCTATACTTAAGAGTGATTTTGTAATGTCTGTCTTACAAATGAGGGACAGTGGTGGGCTGAAGGTTTAGCCACCTGTCTAGGTTAATACCAAGGGGGGTAGATACAGATTGGGAAACAGGCTTTTCTTCCTGTCCATTTTTAAATTTTAAATTATGTGTATGTCTGTATCTGTGTTTCTGTGAATGTATCCCATGTGTGCAGGAGCCCGCAAAGGCCAGAGGAGGCTGGATCCCCTGAGGTGGAGTTAGGGGCGTCATGAGCCTCAGTCCTCTGGAAGAGCAGCCAGTGCTCTTAACCTCTGAACTGTCTCCAGCCCTTCCAGTCCATTAAGAATGTGTCTGATTTATGTGTGGGCATGAGTACCATGGTCATGTGTGGAGTTCAGAGGACATGTATGTGTGGGCATGAGTACCATGTTCATGTGTGGAGTTCAGAGGACATGTATGTGTGGGCGTGAGTACCATGGTCATGTGTGGAGTTCAGAGGACATGTATGTGTGGGCGTGAGTACCATGGTCATGTGTGGAGTTCAGAGGACATGTATGTGTGGGCATGAGTACTATGGTCTGTGTGTGTACGTGCTGGAGTCCAGCTCCAGTGGGCTCAGGTTCCAAAGAGAAGGTATGGAGTCTGTGAGGGAAGGAGACTGAAACCTGAGAAACAAAACTCTAAGAGCAATTTCTTTCTTCAAAAGGCACGACATCGTGTTTGTACCGGGTAGCGCAGCAGCTCGAGCCATTTCCTGATTGCAGGCCCGTTCCTTCATTAGCTCGCCAAAGGGGGGACTCTGGGACTCTGGGTCTCACTCTTTTTCCTTTGTACCACACCATTCTGATTCCTTCAGCGCCTGCTTCTGTATACCGCAGAGGGGGGCAAAGCCAGTCTAACTTGTTAGCAGATCTGCTCCGCAGGCGGTGGGGGGTGGGTGGGGGAGGGCAGACCTGCTCTTGCCATTCATGCCGCAAGCCACCAATCCTGTCTGAACTCTTCCCCTAAGTGGCCTCAGGCTCTGGGCCTGGGCCCATTGTTTCTGCTGTGTGTTTTTCATCCCTGGGACCAGGTGTGCCCAGTTAGTAAATCTTTAACTTCTCTATTCCTGGTGTAACGGCAGGGGCACAGGGGGACTCTGGGGGGGAATAGGCGGAGTTATCCTGCTACATGGTTCCACGGTGGTGGGGATTTTCTCCCGAAGAATTGTTTTGTTTAGAGAGACTGTTCTCATCCTTCACCAATGCTCACACAAAATTCCCAAAGGAAGCTCCCATAACTCGGGGAGAATCATTAAAGATGAGAGCAGGCAGTGCTGGAGAGTCGTGATCCATCTGCAGTGTCGAAGTGCTGGGACTTTGTCAAGCAGCAGTTTTGCTGTGCTGTCCGTCAGTCCGTCCGTCCGTCCGTCCGCACCACACATGGGTGCCGGTGGAGGCCGGAAGAGAGTGGAGGAGCTGGAGTTCAGGCAGTGGTTGGGAACGACCCCATGTGGGTGCTGGAAACCAAACCAATGCCCTCCGCAAGAGCAGGGCAGGCTCCCAAACACTGAGACATCTCTCCAGCTCCAAGGAAGTGTATTTTATGTATTTCTGATGTTTCAGTGGTTTTTCCCTCCCTCCCTCCTCTCCCTTCCTGTCTGTTTTGGAGACAAGGTCTCACTCTAGACAGGATGGCTTGAACTCCTGGGGCTAGAAGTTAAAGCGCACTCACTCCTTGGGACGCACAGGATCTGATGCCCACGTCTGACCCCCTCAGGCACCAGGCATGCCCATGGTGAACATACATACATGCAGGCAAAATGCTCATACATACAAAATAGCGCTTTTTTATAATTTAAGAAAAGGTGTCTCAGTCTTTTTGGTTTTTCAAGACAGGGTTTCCCTGTGTAGCCCTAGCTATTCTGGACCTTACTCTGTAGACCAGGGTGGTCTTGAACTCAGAGATCTGCCTGCCTTTGCCTCCCAAGTGCTAGGATTAAAGATTTGTGCCACCATGCCCAACCCGAGTGTTTCTGAGTTGCTCCTGGAAAAAGGAAATTATTGCACTCGAGTAAGGCCTTTGGAGTAATTTAGTGTAGCTGTACCACTTTGCTGTCATTCACTGCGAAGGACTTTGTCCTGGCCCCCTCCCCGCTCCCTCCCCAGGGTTCAGGTGAACCAGAGGAGCAGGGCCTAGCAGTGGCTTCTCCCCTGAACTGCCCTGGCTAGTCCAGCTTTCTGTGGTGGTGTCAGGCAAGCGCCTGCTGCTGTGCTTAGGACAAAATATTCCTTATGTTGTCACATCGCTCGCTGTGTGCGAGCCTGAACCTCTGACTGCCCGGTGAGTCTCCAGTGAGCGGATCATTCACCGGGTACACGCTATCACAGATTATGTTTGAAATCTTGGTAGATCGCTCATCTTCCAGGATTCGGGTTAACCACCTCAGTAGAGGAGAAAAGCTTTTCTTTAGCCTTTGGCGGGCTTCCAGATGCACAGCGCCTTTGCGGAGTCCTGCCCACTGTTCTTCCACCCCTGAGTGGAGACGCCTCTGAGATGGCTTTTGTGTAACGTGAGCCTCCCGCGCCCACTGGAACGTAAATCAGCGTGGCATAAAGGGAGGCCGGGGGATGGCGGGCTGGGGCTGACCCCTGGCCGACCCGCAGCTGGGCCCCCCTGGGGGCGTGGCCACGGGCCGGGCTGGGGGCGGGGCCGCTTGCGCATGGGCAGGAGGCCCCGGCTCCAACTGCCCCCGGTCGCCACAACCGCCGCCGCCGCCGTTGCCGCCGTTAGCGCTCGTTTGGGGAGCTGTTGCCTGTCTGCCACCACCATGTCCAGAGGAGACGCGTCCCTGGCCGGAGGCAAAGAGAAAGGCGAGGAGCTGGTCGGGAGCCTGGGCTGGCGGTACCTGGTGAAGCAGGGGGAGGAGGAGGCAGAGGCGCTGAAGAAGGAGGAGGAGGAGGAGGAGGAGGAGTGCTGCTCGGACGACCTGAGCCCCGAGGCCCCGGGCATGCACCCGGACCTCCTGGAGCTGGCGGTGGACCGAGAGAAGTGCCGCAGCATCCGCAGGCAGTACCGGCAGCTCATCTACAACGTGCAGCAGAACCGGGAGGACATCGTGAACACGGCCAGCGACTCGCTGACCGAGGCCCTGGAGGAAGCCAACGTGCTCTTCGATGGCGTGAGCCGAACCCGAGAGGCAGCCCTCGACGCCCAGTTCCTGGTTTTGGCCTCGGATCTGGGTAAAGAAAAAGCAAAGCAGTTGAATTCTGATATGAGCTTTTTTAACCACGTCGCGTTCTGTGACTTGCTGCTGGTGTTTGTGGGCCTGAGTTGGGTGGAAGACCAGTGTGAAGAGCTCAGCGACTGCGATGACAGCATGGCGCTCTCCTTCTGGGGGATGGTGCAGAAGGAAGCCACGACCTGGATGCTGCGAGCTGAGACGTTCCACTTCATTTTTGGTTCGTTCAAGGCAGAGCGGCGTCCACGAAAGCCCCGGCTTGAACATCACAAAAGAGCATGCAAAATGGAAGGAAATGGAGATATGCCTACGAAGTTGAGGAAGCTGGACGCGCATGCTAATCAGGAGACGACAGAAAAGGAAGTAGAACGAATCTTGGGATTGCTGCAGACCTACTTTCAAAAGTACCCCGATACTCCAGTGTCGTATTTTGAGTTTGTGATTGATCCAAACTCATTCTCTCGCACTGTGGAGAATATCTTCTATGTTTCTTTCATTATAAGGGATGGCTTTGCGAGAATAAGGCTTGACCAAGACAGACTGCCGATATTAGAGCCGACCAATGTTAACCAGGCGGATGAAGAAAGTGATTCCTGTTCCTACGGCAGGAAGCAAGGAGTTATATCTTTGAGTTTGCAGGACTGGAAAAATATTGTCTCCACTTTTGAAATTTCAGAGGCTATGATCAAAAACTCATACTGAAGGTTTTTGTTTGTAGTGTATGACCCCATCTTGTACTATCATAAAGTAGATTCTAAACAAGCACATGTTCTAGTAAACTATTTTCCAGAACAAATGAAATTGTCTCCTTGCAGTGCATTTTTCCTGATAACTTAGAAGGTTATAATCTTACTTAAAAATTGACTATCATGCTTAGGGGACGTTTTTTGAAATCTACACGGTACTTTTAGTAAGTTCTTGAGTTTCATAGGAGGTATTAGCCGACTTGGTAAAAACAAAAACCAGGACTCACTCTGATAGTGAACTGCTTCTCACCAGGTGGGGAAAGAGTGAGAAAAAAGATCCGTTAGTCAGTAGTCGGGCAGCATTAAGACTAAAAAACATAGGTGGCATGCTTCCTTTCAAAAAGTGGATCTCCATATTCCAATTTCCTTGATAAATGAACTTAACAAGTGTGTGTGTGTGTGTGTGCGTGCGCGCGCTGTTAGACTCAAGCAACCAAGGCATCTTGGTTTTTTTTTGTTGTTGTTGTTGTTGTTTTGAGACAGGGTCTCCCTTTGTAGCTCTGACTGTCCTAGAACTCAGAGATCCACCTGGACCTGCCTCTGCCTCCCACTTGCTGGGACTAAAGGTGTGTACCTCCACGCCCTTTGAGAAGGCATTCTAGGTAAGAAAACAAGGTCAAGTGTGTGGAGTTGTGACAAGTGAGACATGAGAACGTGCAGATTTGTAGAAACTTTTCTACTCGAAAGTTAAGCTGGGCAGGAACCGTGGCAGCCTTCCCAGTGTTCTCAGAGGTAGAAGATGATGTTTTATCTTGACTGATCTCACCACTGATATTTCTACACAGTGTCCTTCAGAACCAGTGCTGGTTCATCATGTAACAACTGGGGATATTTGTCCCAATTAACCCTGATTAAAAAGTATGTGTGTGTGTGTGGGGGGGGGGGCGGGGGACTGGAGAGATGGCTCAGTGGCTAAGAGTTGCCCTGCCAGAGGTCATGAGTTCTATTCCCATATTCCCAGCACCCACATGGTGGCTCACAATCATCTCTATGGGATCTAATGCCCTTTCTCTCGGATGGTCTCTTGCATGTAGGCACTACAGTACAAGTAGTGTGCTCATATATGTAAATATTAAAAGCGCAAACTCAGTGGGTTTGCTCTGTATCTGGGCCTGTACAGCAGGATTTGTGAATTCCCCCCCCTCCCCCCCCCGTTTCTTGTGGGCCTGGGTTGGATGGAGACGGGCTGATCTGAGGAGTCGTGCTGACAGTGTGGGAGATAACATTAAAGGAGGCACTGCTGGGGTATTGCAAGTTGGGAACCTCCTTAAGGTGTTTGTGTAATTTATAAGTTTTTTTTTTTTCCTTTCTTTGGTGCTTTGCAGTTTTAATGATGTAAACTACAGGACAACGGGATGTGGTTCAGTGGTTGAGTGTTTTCCTAGCTTGAGGGCTGCCTTAGCTTCTGCCCTCAACATCAGTGGGGTGTGTGCGTGCGTGCGTGCGTGCGTGCGTGCAAGCGTGCAAATTATTTGGTGGTCAATATAGAAAATTTGGGTTATTAAAATAATTGCAGAAGAAGCAGCAGACATGCCCTGAGCTATTTTTATGGCTGTAAGTCTTTGGTGGTAGAAAAGTCTGCCACTGGTGTGGTTAGTGGTGTTTTTGTTGTGCTTAATAGTAACAGTAAAATTTCCTACTAAATCTAAGGAAGGGAGGGGGCAGGGAGAGGAAATCCAACGTCTAAATGACACCCAGATTGAGAGGAGGGGTCTTTGGTGGAGAAAGTTTTCATTACACCGTTAATGTAGAGAGAATTCCGAAGAAAAACCCTAATGAGACAGACACTTTCTACAGTCGCTGTTTTCCCCTCCGAACATGAAGACATGCTCAACCTTCCAGCGCCGGCCATCCTTCAAGATGAAGGGCAGCATCGTTTGGTCTGCTGAGCCTCATCCTGGCATCTCTCAGCCAGAGCCCTGGGCCCTTTGGAAGGTCAGCGTTGGGAAGAGAACATGCTGCTGGGTTATAAGATCCGACTCAGTTCCTTCCTCAGCAGGCTGAATTGTCGATGCCTCTGCCTGGTTGTGTTCTGACATGTAGACGGCTTGAAAACACAATAGAAAATAAAGAGGCTTATTTTCTGATCAGGTGGGAGGGGTGATTTTTTTATTTTATTTTTTTTTTTAATTTTTATTTGAGACAGGGTTTCTCTGTGTAGCTTTGTGCCTGTCCTAGAACTCACTCTGTAGACCAGGAGGCTGGCCTCCAACTCACAGAGATCCGCCTGCCTCTGCCTCCCGAGTGCTGGGATTAAAGGTGTGCATCACAACCACCTGGCTTTTATATTTATTTATTTATATGATCACTCTGGGCTCTTGCTTTTGCTTTTACTGGTTGGAATGTTGCACAGTTTGTTGCATTATTTTGGATTCAAAGTAGGGACCTTGGAAAAAGAATTGAGCAATAGGAGATGAATTCAGTTTTAGAAATGAACGGAATTGTCAAGGTTCAGTAACAGAAGCTCACTCTAAGGAGAAAGTTTACGGGTTTTGTTTTGAAGTTAAAATTCTGATGGTACCAGGCACATGTGGTACACATATGCACAAGCAAGACACTCCAATCTAAAGCAAGACTACAGGATTATTAAACTAGAAAAAGCGTATGCGATTAAATATAATTCCTAGATGTGATGTATTGGGAAAAGCAAGAGATTAAAGATGTGTTTGAGTGTAGTGTGTGTGTGTGTGTGCACGCGCGCGCGCGCGCGTGCACATGCTCATGCTTGTAATGCTTGTATGTGTGGAAGTGAAAGAGTAACCTTTTTTTTTTTTTTTTGAGACAAGTCTTGCTCTGTAGACCAAGCTGACCCCAGATTCACGGAGCTCCACCTGCCTGGCTCCCAAGCACTGGCGTTAAAGGCATGTGCCACCACAAAGGGGCAGCTTTTGAAAGTTGTTTCTTTTACTCTGCGATTGATCTGGGGATTGAACTCAGGGTGTCAAGGTTTGTGCAAATAGCGCTTTTACTGATTGCGCCACCGCGGAAGTTTCTCCCATTTTTTTTTTTAAAGCCATTTAAATTAGTTAATTTGATGTGCTTGGTCATTTGGAGGTCAGAGGACAGCTTTTGGGAGTTGGTTCTTTTTCCACTCTGTGGTCCCAGGGCTTAAACTTGAGTTTGGTGGCAGGTGACTTTATCTGTTGATTGAGCTCACCAGCTTGGGCAAGTTTAGTGCCGTAGCCTGTCATAGCTGAAACAGATGACATCTGGCCTGGATTTGATGGGATTTAATGTGCACAAACATGTCTAGCACAGTGTCTGTCTCATTGTGGACACTCAGCCTATTGCACGGTGCCACCTACTTCTGTGTTGGAGACTCAGTAATGGAGTCTCACGCTTTGTAAGTAGCTTCCTTCCCTTTGTTCTGGGGGAATCTGTTGACAACTGATTATAACGTGCACACGGCTAACTGACTCAGCTGTACCAGGCGCCGCTGCTGGGGTTGCCGGAGAATGGTAGAGCACGCTCCATCCGGAATGTGATTTACCGTGTCCTGGCTGTGCTGATTTCCTGCTGTAACAAATCTCCAAGCACCCAGTAGCTTTGGACCACACTGCCGTAGCAGTCTTGGAGGCTGGATGTCCAACCAAAATGGGTTTGGCTAGACCAAAATCGGGACTCGGACAGCTCCGGTTCCTGTCTTGGGGAGCTGTTCTCATTGGATTACATTTTGAGTGGGACACTATTTAGTTGGCACTGAATGATCGCTAGTTCAGTTTTAAGTAGGGTTAAAATGAAAGTGTAGTGTTCAGTTCTAGGGTCAGCTGAATGCTTCAGCTGTTCACATTGGCCAGTTAAATCTTAAAGATCCAAGCTCCGGTGGCATACTTTTTTGTTTTTGTTAAAAGCTGGTTGATATAATTTGATTTAAAGCTTGAACTGTAAAAATCCATTAGATACAGAATTTTGGTAAAGAATACTTCATAAACTATTTTAGTTCGAGTTTCTGTTGCTGTGAAGAGACACCATGACCATGACAACTCTTATAAAGGAGAACGTTTAACTGGGGCTGGCTTACAGTTCAGAGGTGTAGTCCATTATCGCCATGGCAGGAAGTGTGGCTCAGCAGACGGACGTGGTGCGGGAGAAAGAGCTGAGAGTTCTACACCCCAGTTGGCAAGTAGCAGGAAGAGAGTGCCACCCTGAGCCTGACACACTTCCTCCAGCAAGGCCACACCTCCTCATAGCGCCACTCCCTGAGTCCACGGGGGCCATTTTCTTTCAAACCACCACATAAACCTTTGGAAGAGGGAAGGTGTGGCCTTTGAGAATATATTTGTTCTCGCTTGTTCTGCTTAGGTGTATTGCAAAAGGTTGGTTTCAAGGGCAAGAGGTTTTTATTTTTCTGTTGTATACCTGTTTGTCCTAAGACCATGCAGTTAAAATGATTTTGAGATTCTAGTAGTTATGTTTTAAGTAAAATTTTTATTTATGGAGTTTCAAGAGTGATTCCTTTGCTGTCCATTGAGGTCATGAAAGGTCAAGATTTCTAAGATAGCCGCTTCTTTGAGAAGACCAAATGCTCAACCTAGCTGTCATCAGCCCCTCGCTATGATTCTTTTATCCGAGTGAATCAGAGACAGACATGTTCATGACAGCTTCAGAGTGCTTGCTCCGTTGGGGGTCTTTGGCTTCCAGTTTCTTCAGTTTACTTTAGGAGAGATCTTCCTCTACTTGATGACATCTGGTCTTTTTTTTTTTTTTTTTTGGTTTTTCGAGACAGGGTTTCTCTGTGTAGCTTTGCGCCTTTCCTGGAGCTCACTTGGTAGCCCAGGCTGGCCTCGAACTCACAGAGATCCGCCTGGCTCTGCCTCCCGAGTGCTGGGATTAAAGGCGTGCGCCACCACCGCCCGGCTGACATCTGGTCTCTTAAGAATGAGTTCAGATCACATTTATTCCTATCCCATTCAGAATACTGTGGGTATGTATGTGGGATGTGCCATTGTTACGTGGAAACATGCGTCCATTCACAAAGACAGGTATCTTTAGATTGGACCTCATGTTCCACGAAAGGGGGATCTTCATCCATCGAGTGAAAATTGGAATGCTGAT